CGGTGAGGCGAGGGCTGGGGAAGCATGGGGAAAGTGCCTTGCTTCAGGACCTCTCTCTCCTCCCGCCTGCCAAGGGAGACAAGGATACTGTCAGTGTGGCTAAGAAGGACGCGGTCGGAGGGGCTGTCCCGTATAACGTCGAGTGTCTATCAGAGTATATCCTACAAAGCGATTAGGAGGCTCGAGAAAACGTGGAGCACCGAGTGAATCTGGACTGTTGACGATGGTCGTCGTGGTAATGTTGCTGATTATTACATTAACAAGAATAATGATGAGGAAGAGGAGGATCAAGTGGCGGTGGTGATGATGGTGATGATGATGGTCGAGGGCAAGGTGATGGTGATGTTGATAATGACAATGATAATAGTAACGAGAATAATAATAGTAATGACTGATGCTGATGATGAACATTTTCATTATCATTAATATCATGTTGATAACAATGATGCCAAAATGAATAGCACTAATCTGCAGGTAATTCTAAAACGAGTAATGATAATAACTAGATAACAGATGTAACTGTAATGATAATACTAAAGGTGCCATCAATTATAATAACAGCAATTATCATGAAAATCATATGGATGCTGACGATGATGAACGTATAGTAAAAAATCATTAACCAAAGACAGGACCATCAGTAAACGTACAGTAACTAATAATAACAATGGTAATAATGATAGTAATGATATCAATAATAATGCCAAAATAAGGTAGTAAGCTAAAGAAATAAGGACATTTACAAACGTGACATAACCTGCCGTTATATCATACATTATAACGAGGTAGACATCACTGTACAGTCAAGGTCAAAACTCGTGTCAAACGTGTTTCGAATTATGCCTCAAACTCAAACAACGTGACCTTCCTGTTTCGAAGCTTCATTCACGAGACGGCTGTCGTCCGTGACTGTAAGTTAAAAAACGTAATGCTAATGACACAAGACCAATAATAATAATAATAATAATAATAATATGTAATAATGATGATAATAATAATAAAACAGTTAAATCATAAGAAAATCACATGACACAATTACATAATGATGATAATCAAATAGTTAAATCATAAGAAAATCGCATCACGCCAGAAATCCCCCACCATTACACGCGATAACAATGTTCTAGTACAATACGAGACATTAAAGATTACATAAAACACAGGAAAACACACACAAAGCACTTCCGAGGACGACACACCAAATAAGAAATATATAAAGAAAAACAGTCATGAACATATATTTTTCAAGCACTCTCAAAACACACGGCAGACTAACGGACACAATTCAGAGAAGTTGCGAGTTCAGTACCTCCAGATCTTGGCACTGAGAGGCACCGGGAGACGTCCGCTCAGCGAGGCGCCTGGCACCCGACTGACCCTACCTGGTGCCGTTTCAGATAGGCACTCTGACACCTACGCGCGAGTGTACATGAACTCAGCACCCAATGCCAAGTTTGCTGAATTTGGTATCTTTGCTGTTGCCTTTATATTTATTTTAATTTCCACATTCCCACTCATAATCTCTAAATAAGGAAAGAAATAATTTTTACTGAGGAAAATCTACTACACACAAATCAAGCTTACCAGAAAGTGAATATAATCTTTTTGCTTGTTTAATGGAACTAATTGTTTTAATAATTATTGTACTATTATTATTTCTGACATCGCTACCATAATTATATATATTTTTTTACCATCAACAACGCTATAAGTATCAGATTTTCCAGAGTTCTCAGTAATACCATTGACATTTCAATCATTATAATAATTGCTGTAATTATCACTAATGCTGTAATTAGTGTACTAATTACTTTGATTATCCCCATTATCATCGCTTTTTAGAGAGGGTTAGTACCGCGAAATATTTGTTTATTTAGGTATTATTCAACTGGGAAAGCAAACAATCAGCAAAAATTAAGAGAAAAGAAAACTTTAACCCCGTCCTCTCAGCTCATCCTCGATCCTCCTCCATACTTTATCATTTCCCTCCCTCCAAAACTTCTGAACCCCGTAGCCCGTCTCTTAAAAGGGTTGTCACGTCCATCTGCCGCCATTTTACGCGGGAACATATATTTCGTGTCTGTCGCGTTGCGTTCCCCAGAGACTCCGAAATTACGAAGCAATAGCCGCTTTCTCTTCTCATATTACCGGATTCCCCATCTTAGTTCTTTTAATATTCTTAATATTTATATATCTATGTATATGTAAACATGAATATACACATACATACACACATACATGCATAGACGAATAAATACATACATATACACACACAAATATATAGAGGGAGAGAAAGGGCGGAAGGCATGGAGAGCACTGTTCCCATAGTGCCTATGCCAGGATGTAATGCCAGTAGGTTGTAATAATCGGAAGCGCGAAATCTGGCAACAGACTGGGTCCCAAACGGCCTGACGGAATTGGACCCCCTTTTGCCCATTAGCCTCTAGTCTCACCAACCGAATACAGAACACAGCCAATGGCGACGGAAATTATTGTTGGT